GCCACCTTAGGTGTATGTGGCTGGCACCTTAGCCACTTGAGCCACAGATGCTGAGCCAGAACGTTATTTTTGTTAAGATATTTTTTTCATAGAAGTTGGGGGTTTTGGTCACAAAATCTTATACATCTTTCTTGCTCAAACAAACTTTATGCTCTAACTGTAACAGCCCTTCAGAATGATTAAGCATTTTGTGTCTATCATTCCATTGGGTCTCAACAAAAAACTACTGGTAGTAGGGAGAAGTTACTTAAATAAAAGAAATTAAAGCTTTGAAAAGTTAAGAAATTTGCCCTTAGTCAGCACAAGTAATAAGCAACAAAGCTTTATCTGAACCCAGGTTGTTTTAGTCCAAAGCCTAAATAACTCTCTATAAGAATGATGTTACTACTTGCTGGGCACACTCAGATCACTATTTAAGAAGACAATGGGATATTTTCCTTTACTATCTAAATCAGTGGTTCTCAACCTTCCTAATGCCATGGCCCTTTAACACAGTTCCTGTGGGTCGCAACCCACAGGTTGAGAACCACTGATCTAAACAAAATATTTGGAAGAAAATGTTTGATGTCGTAATAAAGAATGTAAATTATATGTCTAGTCCACAGAGTTTTGAAAACTAAACAAATATGGAAATATCAAAATCCAAAACTATATTTTATTTAGCAAATTTAATTGCTGCTCAATAAAACTGAAAAAAATCAAGACAAATGATGAATCTTTTTAGTAAAAGGAAGCTGTTAGTATCATAAGACCTAAAAATGTCATATCTGAGCTATGTCTATAAATATATCAGGGACTGCAAAATAAAAACTGATTCATGAATGTGCTGTATCTTACATCTGAGGAACTAGTGCCATTTTCAATCTCTTCTAAGGGTCTAGGAGTCTCTTCTAATGCAGATCTTGTTCGATAATTATGTTGATTTGCCTGCTGCTTTTTGGATTCTCCAAGATCCAAGAAATTCTCATGAGCATGATTCTGGAAAAAAGTAAATTAAATTTATTCACAGTATGCTTTCAGAGCAGGCCTTTTAGTTTGAAAGTTAAAACTTTTTTAATTATAAAAACTCCATTCATACTTAATATATAGCTTAAAAGAACTAGTTTACAGCACCAACTCAAATACTTTAGCATTATATCAAATTAAATCACAGTATTACATGTTGAAATTCATTTGTGATTTATTAGTTATAAAAACATTTTTTCCTGATTAAATGATACATTCTTAAGGATTTATAATAAAAGCCTAAGTCAAACACTTAAATTCTTCGGTACCTACATCAAACCTACAAAAATGATATAAGAAAGAGAACAGGCTCGGTGCCTATAGCTCAGCAGCTAGGGCACCAGCCACATACACTGGAGCTGGGGGGTTTGAATCCAGCCCAGGTCTGCCAAACAACAATGACAACAAGAAATAGGTGGGCACTGTGGCAGGCGCCTATAGTCGCAGCTGCTTGGGAGGCTGAGGCAAGAGAAAATTGCTTAAGCCCAGGAGTTTGAGGTTGCTGTGAGCTGTGATGCCACAGAACTCTACTGAGGGTGACAAAGAAAGAAAAGAAAGAGAAAGGAAGGAAGGGAGGGAGGAAGGAAGGAAGGAAGGAAAGGAAGGAAGGAGGGAGGGAAGGAGGGAGGGAAGGAGGGAAGGAAAGGAAAGAAAGGAAAGAAAGGAAAGAAGAAAGAAAGGAAAGAAGAAAGGAAAGAAAGGAAAGAAAGGAAAGAAGAAAGGAAAGAAAGAAAAGAAAGAAAGAAAGAAAAAAAGAGAACAACAGGCTATGAAACACAGGTACTAGGTAGAGAGGCAAAGTGGACACCCAAATGGTGACCCTACATTGCCACTACTGAGGCTGGGACACCATGTGGCTGGCAATCTTCCTTCTGCTGAGAGAAAGGAGACAATGTAACAAACCTAAAAATTAATAAAGTAATCTCAAAAGTAAGTGAGAGAATATCTATGAAATTTAAGTGTAGATTCTTGTCTTAGAAAAAATAATTATAAAAAGCAATGAGAGATTCTTGAAATAAAAGATGACCATTAAATTTGGAGAGAAAAAAAGATGGAAGATGAAATGAGGCTAACCATTACCCAAAGCT